AATATTGATAACTGGTTACATTAGTTATTATCAAAGGAAATGTCAAAGAAGATTTTTTCCAAAACATAATTGAAATGGGACAGAATACTTTGACGATCACTTCTTAGTCATTGTCCAAAACATGGGATAACATTTGAGATGAGTATAAAGGTAACATTTTGTATTGAAGCTAATCAGTAAGATGAGTAGTAAAATTCTTTGCCAAATAAAGACTAACCCTTTCAGTTTCATTTATCTATCAATCAATCCACAATATTCTTTTTTTGCCGTAATAAATCAAAATCAATAATTAAATGAGATAACATTTTGTTTATTATTATTATTATTTAATATTTGTAATGTTACATTTGTAATATTGTGAGTAAATTTATAATTCAACATCTAGATATATCAGTAGCAGAATAACTGGAAGAAAGAAAATTATGATATGATCTTTATGGTTGGAAATTTTATAAGGGAAAGGAGAAGTATTTATTGATCTAGCAAAAGGAAATATCAAAGAAATCAAACATATATAATGAGTTAATTTTCTTTAAAAGGTAGTTAAAGAAACGCTACGGGGAAGAATTGAATGAGAAATATTACAGAAATATCTTATTGCCTTTTAGTCGATTTCTTATTGCCCAAAATAAGGTGCAAAACATAATTGCATAGACTTCTTTCTTCAAAAAAAAATATAATAAGAAAAAAATATAAGAACTAGTTACATTAGTCATTGTAAAAGGAAATGTCAAAGAGGAAAATTTCCAAAACATAACTGTAGTGGGATAGTATGCTTTAATGATCACTTTATCTTTTAGCATTCTTCTTTTCTCATTCATAATTTAATTGTATTTACAATGAAATTTCATGAAAACATCCTATAGTCATCGGTCATTGTTCAAAAAATAGGGTACCATTTGAGACGAGTATAAAGTAATATTTTGTATTGAAAGTTGATTAATAAAATAAGAAGCAAAATCTCTTATTCGATTAATTTTAATCCTTTGATTTTGCTAATCAATCAACTAATAATTTTTTTATCATAATAAATTAAAATCATTAAATGAGATAATAATTTTTTTATTATTTAATATTTGTAATATTATAAGTAAATTTATAATTAAATATCTAAATATATCATTAACAAAATAATTAAAAGAATAAAAATTATAATATGATCTTTATTGTCAAAAATTTTATTAAAAAAATAAAAAATATCAATTGCTTCAACCAAAGAAAATATCCAAAAAAAATCAAAACGTATATGGTTAGTTACTTTTCTTTGAAAGGTCCAAAGCATAACTGAAGTGGGGCAGTTGGCTTTTTCGTCAATCAAATTCGTATTAGAGGCAGGGAGCAGGTGGAAGAGAAGTACTACTCGATGAGAAAGAGAAAGAAAAGGAAATATCGCATACCCATAATTGTGTTGGTTAGGCAGCAGTCCGTATGTGTGGACGTGCTGCAGTTGCCTCAAGTCAATAAAAACTGGGCATTGACTCGTCCACGTCTCAGGCCCAGATTATTAACATCAGCCTTAAGTGTTAGGGGCCACCACAATTCTTTCTTTCATTTTTTTTAATTGTACATTCAATTTAAGGACAAATATATATTTTCACATTTCATCTGAATCGGTAAATAAATAATTAAAAAAAAAAATCCTGGCGGCCTTTAACACTTAAAGTTAGTGGGCCTAACCGGGGCCTACATCTTCCAATCGATATTTTCTTTTTAAATTTAATATAAGTAAAAATATTAGAAGTTATAAGTTAATGTATATTAATTTTGATTTTTAAGAATAATTAGATTTTTAACTTACATTTAAAAATTAAAATTTTATTTTATTAAATATTGATATTTAAATTTAAAAATTAATTATATATTCTAATATATCATTATTTAATAAGACTATTTTTTAATTTTTGAATTGAATTTTAATTAAATAAAATAATTTATTTTAAAATTAAAATTGATATGTACTTTTCTCAAAATATTATTATTATTATTTAAGTTATAAAACTATTATTTTTTTATTTATTTTTAATAAATTTAACTTAATTTTTTTAATTTTTAAGATATAAAATTTTTATACAATTTTAATAACATATATAAATAATAATTAAAAAAATTTTATATATGTAATTTTTATTAAGTATTTTTATTTAATTATTAAAAAATTTTCAATTATTATTTATATAATACATTAAATTTTCATCTAAAATTTATATTATAAAAATTAAAAAATTAAACTAAATTCATTAAAAATAAATGAATAGAGTAAAACAACAAAAAAATTTCCATTGCCAATTATTTTACAAATATCAAGAAAAAAAAAAGTCTGGAACCATTAAAAAGAAAAAACAAAAAAAGGTAGTTTACCTTTCATTCCGTTAAATTACTATCGCTCAACGAAAGGTCCAAAGCACAATTGAAGTGAGGCAATCGGCTTGTTCGTCAATGTCTTTCATATTAGAGGCAGAAAGCAGATAAAAGAGAAGTAATACCAGATGAGAAAGAAAAAGTAGGAAAAGGAAATATCACCTAAACATAATTGCGTTAGTTAAGCAGCTGTCCATATTTATGTGCGGTGTGGACGTGATACAGTTATCTTCGGTCCATAAAAATGGGGCGGTGATTCGTCTACATCACATAATCACATGATCGATATCCCCTTCTTAAACTTAATACAGGTAAGAATACTAAAAGATTACAAAATTTTCTTATTTATTTTTATTATTTTTTAAGCATAATATAGGTGAAGAATCACAAAAGTTTTCTCATTTGATCTCTTTCTTAATCGTAATATAAATTAAAACTATAAAAAATCTCCCTTTCATTGCTGTGCATCATTATTGCCCAACGAAGAGACAAAAGCATAATTGAAGTGGGGCAGTCGGCTTTTCGTCAATATTCATACTAGAGGCAGAGAGCCGGTAAAAAGATAGGTATTATTAGATGAGAAAGAAAATGTAGGAAAAGGAAATTAATATCACATAAACATATATGCGTTGGTTAAGCAGCTGTCCGTATGCGTGGACGTCCTACAGTCGTCTACTTCTCAGGGCCAGATTATGAACATCAGCCTTAAGTGTTGGGGCCACCACAATTCCTTCTTTCTTTCTTTTTTAACGTGGAAAAAAATGGGGAAAGGGAAGTATTTTTAAGTGGTAGTGAAATTTGAATTTTGTTCAATTTAATTTATATATTAAGATTTAGAAATGAACCACAGAGATGAAAACTTGATTCCACCGCAATTCTTTCTTTTAATTTTTTTCAATTACTAAGTTATACATTCAATTTAAGAATAAATATATATATGTAAAAAAAAAAGAATAAATATATATTTTCACTTTTCATCTAAATAGATAAATAAATAGTTTAAAAAGGAATCCTGGCGGCTTTTAACAATTAAAGTTATTGTCCAAACCGGGGCCTATATTTCATAATCGATATCTCCGTCTTAAATTTAATATAAGTGAAAATATCACACTTTTTATTTATTTTT